GAGTGAGAGACGGGGTGGGAGGGGTAGGAGGGCGAAGGGGGAGCAGAAAAATTCATTTGTTAAAAAAAAATCTCATTTCTTTCATTTCATCAAACAAAAATCAAATAATTTCTTTTCTTTCCGTCGGTTGTTTTAAATTATTATTATTATTATTATAAGAAAATATTCGTAGATCTTGGAATCGTTTGTTTAAAAACAAACAAACAAACAAGAGATAAAAAATTTTATTTAGGGAAATAATTTAATAAAAATATTATTTAAATTGATTCATTCTAATTCGATTTCGGTGATATTTACGTAAAGGAAATATTATTATTATTATTATTTGTATTACGTCACATCCTAATTTTTTTTCACATGTAATAATAATAATAATAATAATAATAATAATGATTTGCGTGTGTGCGTAATACTCGACGATCGTTTTAAAATTTTTTTTTTTTTTTGGTAATTATAATTTATCAATAAGTTTTCCTTTTTCCTCCAGTGGTGATGATGATGATGATGATGACGATGATGATGATGATGATGATGATGATGATGATGATTACGATGATGATGATGATGATAATGATATGCGGATGATAAAACGGAAATAAATAAAAGATCGGTTAGGTTAGTTTTGTTCTCACGATCGGGAAAACTATTTTCATTTTTTTATATTGCGCAACCGTTATAAGAAAACGTGAAAGTTGGGAAAACACTCGAAAGGCGATTTAATCGGAAATCAAACACACAAACAAACACAACACGATCAAAAACACACACACAAACACACAAGACACACACGTACACGTACACAAACAAACAAACAAACAAACAAACGGATACGAATATTTTATCATTATTATTATTTTTTTCTCTTCGTCATCATCATTTACGAAATGAAAACTTGTGAAAATGTTAAAAAAAAAAAATATGGAGTCGTTTCGAAAAATAATTATCAATATCATTTATTTAATTGTCACGTAGGTAAGTAAATAAATAAATAAATAAATTATTATTATTATTTATTACTTTAATAATAAATAAAATAAAATAATTAATAAGTTATGAAAAAAAAAAAAATTTTTTTTGAAATTTTATTTTTCGATTTGTTAATAAATTATTATTATTATTATTATTAATATTATTAAATCGAAAATTGAATAATAATAATAATAATAATTAGGGTAATAAAACAAAGTTAATAATGTAAAAAAAAAAAAAAATTACCCCGATAATTAATAAATAATTAATTAATTAATTAATCGTCGGTCGATTTTTTTATTTTTTTTTTCGGAAAAATTTTCATCGAGAGCGGAAAATTTAATAAACCGGAAATAAATAATCGTAGTAAATGTTTATATAAAATAAAACATTCGAAACG